AAGAAACCACTCCCATTATTCTCCTTGTTGACCATGATACTTTTCTACCTAGGATCAAAGTGTAGTGTCTGTCTTATTTAGAACCCTTTTTTTGCTGGGATCCATGACAATTTCCAACTGAGAATATTCTCTATTCATATTCTGCTAATTTGTATGAATAACCATTAAACTTTTCTACGATGGATCAGAGTGTAGTATTTGCCTGATCCTCTGCCTTTTTAAGCTAGAATCAATAAAACTACCCTTATCTGTATGCAGGGTTGGTAGTTTTATATCTAAAATCACAATATAGAAACCAATATAAGAATATTAAACAGGAAAAATGGTAATCGTGAAAGTAAGGAGGATGGGAGAAGACAGATGTAGAGGATGTAATGTAGGACGTGGTTAAGTTATAAAGGACTTTAAAAAATATATATATATATATATATATATATATATATATATATATGTATATATACACACACACACACAAATAATATATATATATATATATATATATATATATATATATATATACACACACATATATATATATATATATATATATATATATATATATATATATATACACACACATATATATATATATATATATATATATACACAAAAAAAAAAATATATATAAAGAAATATAGTCTTAATATGTGCTATATTTATGGGATAAAGTGCTCAATATCAGAGATAGAGCTTGTGTAAATATAAAAGTGAACAAAGAAGTCAACACTTAGAGGCAACAAGCTGTTTCATGCTAGATGCAATCATCAGGCCTGACGATTGTATCTAGCATGAAACAGACTGTCGCCTCTAAGTGTTGACTTCTTTGTTCACTTTTATATTTATATATATATATATATATTTCGGCAGCAATCCTTCTTTTAAACATCTTTTTTTAATATGATAGACAAGGAGAATTTGATTAATTTTTTATTTAGTTTTTCCAGCGTTCTTATATTTTTCTGTTTTTCTGTCCATTGTCCCAAGCATTAAACCATTTTTAAGGGGGGTTTTATTTTGGTGCTGCTAGTTCCTCTTCATGTTTTGACTGTTTGAGATGTAATTTTTGTGTTGTTTTGAATACAAGTAGGAACATTTATTCCAAGCCTTCACATGTTGACCATGGCTGGAACTCAAGTGAGTGTCTTTCTATTTTTTGAAAAATCTGTCAGCATGCCACTCCCATTGTTAAACAAGTTCAGGTTGATAGTGGGAGAGAGATGTTTAATACATAGTGCCTCTCTGATAGCAAGATGTTTTTGGTAATTTGATTTACATAGAATTTCAGTGTTTTTGACCAGAATTTTTTTTAAGGGTTCCTGTAGATATAAAATATTAATAAAATTTTCCTTGTCCATTATATTTAATTAATATAAATGAATAATTACTTAATTGAAATATAACTCCAATTAAATGTAGGTTATCACTGATTCTTTTAATACAATGATCAATATCCTTTTTTTATGTGTATGCTTCTGGTGTTTTTAATAAAAGCTCAAAAACATAACATTTACTTTCTCTCTCATTATATATATGTGTGTGTAGTAACCTAGGTAGGGTTACTGAATGAAGAATAACCAAAATGGAGGTTGGAAATGAAATGGTAATCTTTATAACTTCAAGAAATACAATACTTGCCTGCTGTGTGAAGTAGGTAAACCACTGCTAGTGGTGGACTACTTTGACAGCATATTACTCCCACTTACAATAGTGTCCAATGTATTTATGAGGATTGGGACATACCCATTAGTGTTCACAGGTATGGTATATAACATATATATTTTACAAAGTAGAGAGAAACTGCAAACGTTTTTGGTTACAATGTGGATTTTAAAAAAAATATATATTATACTTTATTTTCCATATTTAAAAAAAAAAAAAACACATTATAGCCAAAAACGTTTGCAGTTTCTCTCATCTTTTTAAAATATACACTTTTCTCTCATTGGAACAAGTATAACCTTTTCTTTATGTGTGTGTGTGTGTGTGCATATATATATATATATATATATATATATATGTGTGTGTGTGTGTGTGTATTTAGTATTTGGTTTGATTGATGTGAGTTTAAATATGTAAGCTCTATCACTGATATCGAGTACTTTCCAATAAGTATTACGTATATATATTATATGAATAATATCTATAAAAATTGTATATATATATATATGTGTGTGTGTGTGTGTGTGTATATATGTATATGTGTGCGTGTGTATATATATGTATATATGCGTGTGCGTGTATATATATATATATATGTATATATGTGTGTGCGTGTATATATATATATGTATATATGTGTGTGCGTGTGTGTATTATATATATATATATATGTATATATGTGTGTGTGCGTGTATATATATATATATATATATGTGTGTGTGTGCATGTATATATATATATATATATATATATATATCCATATATAGATGAAGAAAAGGAATTGGAAAGAGACAAAAGATAAAAGATTGAAAAGCAGTTAAGAATGAAAAGGTATAAAATTGTTATGCATTAAAATTATTTGTACAGATATAGAGCTAAAAAAATAAAACAAGAGAGAGAGAGAGAAAGGTGAGAGAAGAGGTATGAGATAATGAATAATCTCATTTGTCAACACCTGTGGAATTTCCATGGATCCAGTCAGGAGTAATAAATATAATTATATATCAACCCAATACATATTTTCCACAAAACCAGCAAGTCGAAAATATAATCAAATTATATAATATCTTTTGTTTTTTATCATGTTTTTAAAGAAATCTATTCTTTCACTGTTAAACAGGTTTAAAGAAGCAACTTTAGTGAAAAAAAAAAGTCAACCCACATTCTAAATCAAGACATGTGATGCTTTTCAATGAAGCTTTCAAAGCTCATTATTAAATACCTTTCTATTCAGATTAGCATCCTCATCTTGATTGTTACACATGACAAAGTTTCAACTTTGCATAATCCGGCCTTCATTAGATATCTATCATACTAACCTTCTTGAAATTTTAAACTGAACCTTTTATTCAATCTATAGGAATAAAATGTACTTTTTTTTTGCTTTCGCTTATTATACCATAGACCAAAGATGTCAGGAACAACAGTTTTATATTCTTATATGGCAGTGAGTGCCAGAGATTCTCTTCGAAGAAGAGACTTGAATTAATAGAAATGTGGTTCTACAGAAGGATGCTGAGGAATATACAGAATATGCTAACAAACAGCGAAGTTTTAGATAAAATGGAAACAAAAAGGAAAATATTTATACTTAGCATACGTAAAGGATAGTTGAAGTTTTTAGGACACATCATGTAGAAAGAAGGCTTGGAAACTCTGATACTCACAGGACAGATGGAAAGCAAGTGGGACAAAGGATAACAACACATAACCTACTTAGTGAGCTTGAGTAAATGGATGGCAGAACAGGGTTTAGGAGAGATAAAAAAAAAGATAAAATTTATTAAGAGCTACAAATGACAGGAATATGTGGGGAGTCATAATCGCCTACGTTTTGAAGGGACACAGCACATAAAGAAGATGTCTGTCATACTAACCTTCTTGAAATTTTAAACTGACCCTTATATTCAATTTATATGAATAAAATGTTCTTTTTTTTCTTTTGCTGATGATACCATGGACCAACCATGTAACCAATAACAGTTTTATATTCCTATATGGCAGTGAATTCTGGACATTCTCCTTAAAGATGAAGAAGAGACTTGAAACAATAAAAATGTGGTTCTACAGAAGGATGTTGAGGATACCATGGACAGAATATTTCAGCAATGACAAAGTTTTAGATAAAACAAAAAAGTATTAAGAAGCACAAAAATTTCATATAAAACAAAGACCTGAACTGTGACATAATATCAGTCCTCCTATATATCAGTGAATGCTTGATAATCTCATAGATGAAGAAGATACCTGAAGCAACAGAAATGTGATTCTATAGAAGGATGCTGAGAATACTATGGACTGAATATGTGAGCAATGACAAAGTTTTAGAGAAAATAGAAACAAAAAAGAAACTTATACTTATCATCATGAATAGGGAATTAAAATTTCTTTGGAACATAATGAGGAAAGAGGGCTTGGAAAATTTAATACTCACAGGTCATACTGAAAGCAAGAGGTGACAGAAGAAAACAACACATAACATACTTAGTAGGCTTGAGTAAATGAACAGTGGAATAGGGCTTATGAGAGATGACATAGTATATTAAGAACTACAAAGGATAGGAAGTTGTGGAGAGCCATGATTGCCAACATTCTGAAGGGATACAGCACATAGAAGAATAAAAAGATCTATTCAAATATACATATGCAGGATTATTTTGAAATAGTATTTAGGATAGATGACATAATATATTAAGAACTATAAAGGATGGGAAGTTGTGAAGAGCCATGATTGCTAACATTCTGAAGGGATACGGCACATAGAAGAATAAGAAGATCTATGCAAATATCCATATACAAAGCTAAGCAAAGTATTAAGAAACAGAAACATTTAATTAGAAACAAAGAAAAGACTACTGAACTGCTACATAATATCAGTCCTCCCATATGCCAGTGAATGCTGAACAATCTCCTCACAGATGAAGAGGAGACGTGAAGCAGCAGAAATGTGATTCTACATAGAATACCATGGACTGAACATGTGAGCAACAATAAAGTATTAGAAAAAATGAAAACAAAAAGGAAGAGACAGTTGAAATTTCTAGGGCACATAATGAGGAAAATGGGTTTGGAAAATCTGATACTCACTTCAAAAATAAATAAAAAGGGAGATAAAAAAAAAATGATTTGTATTCAAGTAGTTCAAAAGTGGCAATTCCTAATTGATGTGTGTTAGTATTTTCCATTTTGTAAATCTGAATTATCCCAGCAAGATTTTTAACTTGGTTCACCCATTTTCTACATTATGAAAGATTATGTCACCCAAACTTCCACCTAACTGGATTAACACATATAATTTATTTTGAAATGATTTAGTTACTATGAAAAAAATCATGACTTACTTTAGAGACTTTGATGGAGAGACAGGTACGGTAAGTGAGACTTGTGATGTTGATTTGTTATCGTTGTGTAAAATCTTTTTTACATTCTGTATCACAGTATGGTTCCCATGAGTCTGTCTGTCTGGGTGGCTTTCAGCTGCACCCTCAGAGTCTTTGGGCAGTGGCATAAAATTATGGTCCAGGATATAGAGATCTTCAGATGATATATCAGTTATATAATGCAAATGTTCCTGAGCTTTGTCGATTCGGAAGAAACGCTCGGCAGTCGTTGCTGAAAAGAGAGAACAGAGTTACAATTTTATAAAATGGTGAAAAGAGAAGAAAAAGAATGCAACTAAAAGTAGAAAATGAATGAAATTAAAAGAAAAATAAAGGAAATTGAATATATTTGAAGAGAAGAAAGAAAAGAGACTAGAAGAGAAGAATGAGAAAGGAAGTGAAATCAAAAAAGAAAAAGATGGGCAAAGAAGAAGTTAAAGAAGAAGAAATGGAAATATTTAAAAAAAAATAGAAAGAAGAAATCAAATGAAAAGTAAAAGAGAATCATATTAGGCAAGAAAGGGCAAAAGGAATGAATTTAGAAAAAGAGAAATGAAAAAAAAATGAATTTAGAAGAGAAAGAAAAAATGAATCTACAAGGAAAATTGAGATAAGTGGTGACAAAGAAAGATTGTGATAAAAAGAAAGGCAGGTTAAATGATAAAATTTGGAGGGAAAAAAGAAGTAATGATGAAGGAAATTAATGAGACTGAAAGAAAAAGAAATAAGGTTAAAAGAGAAAGAAGAAAAGAAATGAAATTAAGAATTAAAAGAAAAATGTTAAGATTTAAAGAAACATAAGATGCAAAAAGAAAGAAAAAGAAAGAATAAGAAAGAAGGAAAGAATGATAAAAGGAAGGAAGAAAAAATAAGAAGGAAGACTGATAAAAGGAAAGAAGGAAAGAATGATAAAAGGAAGGAAGAAAAAATAAGAAGGAAGACTGAAAAGAAGGAAAGAAGGAAAAGAATGATAAAAGGAAGGAAGAAAAAATAAGAGGAAAAAAAGAATGATAAAAGGAAGGAAGAAAAATAAGAAGGAAGACTGAAAGAAGGAAAGAAGGAAAGAATGATAAAAGGAAGGAAGAAAAAATAAGAAGGAAGACTGAAAGAAGGAAAGAAGGAAAGAATGATAAAAGGAAGGAAGAAAAAATAAGAAGGAAGACTGATAAAAGGAAAGAAGGAAAGAATGATAAAAGGAAGGAAGAAAAAATAAGAAGAAAGAATGATAAAAGGAAGGAAGAAAAAATAAGAAGGAAGACTGAAAGAAGGAAAGAATGATAAAAGGAAGGAAGAAAAAAAAAGAAGGAAGACTGAAAGAAGGAAAGAAGGAAAGAATGATAAAAGGAAGGAAGAAAAAATAAGAAGGAAGACTGAAAGAAGGAAAGAATGATAAAAGGAAGGAAGAAAAAATAAGAAGGAAGACTGAAAGAAGGAAAGAATGATAAAAGGAAGGAAGAAAAAATAAGAAGGAAGACTGAAAGAAGGAAAGAAGGAAAGAATGATAAAAGGAAGGAAGAAAAAAATAAGGAAGACTGAAAGAAGGAAAGAAGGAAAGAATGATAAAAAGGAAGGAAGAAAAATAAGAAGGAAGACTGATAAAAGGAAAGAAGGAAAGAATGATAAAAGGAAGGAAGAAAAAATAAGAAGGAAGACTGAAGGAAAGAATGATAAAAGGAAGGAAGAAAAATAAGAAGAAAGAAGGAAAGAAGGAAAGAATGATAAAAGGAAGGAAGAAAAAATAAGAAGGAAGACTGAAAGAAGGAAAGAAGGAAAGAATGATAAAAGGAAGGAAGAAAAAATAAGAAGGAAGACTGAAAGAAGGAAAGAAGGAAAGAATGATAAAAAGGAAGGAAGAAAAAATAAGAAGACTGATAAAACTGAGAAGGAAAAAAATGAAAAAGGAAGGAAGAAAAATAAAAGGAAGGGAATAAAAAAAGAAGGAATGATAAAAGGAAGGAAGAAAAAAATAAGAAAGAAGACTGAAAGAAGGAAAGAAGGAAAGAATGATAAAAGGAAGGAAGAAAAAATAAGAAGGAAGACTGAAAGAAGGAAAGAAGGAAAGAATGATAAAAGGAAGGAAGAAAAAAATAAGAAGGAAGACTGATAAAAGGAAAGAAGGAAAGAATGATAAAAGGAAGGAAGAAAAAATAAGAAGGAAGACTGAAAGAAGGAAAGAATGATAAAAGGAAGGAAGAAAAAATAAGAAGGAAGACTGAAAGAAGGAAAGAATGATAAAAGGAAGGAAGAAAAAAATAAGAAGGAAGACTGAAAGAAGGAAAGAAGGAAAGAATGATAAAAGGAAGGAAGAAAAAATAAGAAGGAAGACTGAAAAGAAGGAAAGAATGATAAAAGGAAGGAAGAAAAAATAAGAAGGAAGACTGAAAGAAGGAAAGAATGATAAAAGGAAGGAAGAAAAAATAAGAAGGAAGACTGAAAGAAGGAAAGAAGGAAAGAATGATAAAAGGAAGGAAGAAAAAAATAAGGAAGACTGAAAGAAGGAAAGAAGGAAAGAATGATAAAAGGAAGGAAGAAAAAATAAGAAGGAAGACTGATAAAAGGAAAGAAGGAAAGAATGATAAAAGGAAGGAAGAAAAAATAAGAAGGAAGACTGAAAGAAGGAAAGAAGGAAAGAATGATAAAAGGAAGGAAGAAAAAATAAGAAGAAAGAAGGAAAGAAGGAAAGAATGATAAAAGGAAGGAAGAAAAAATAAGAAGGAAGACTGAAAGAAGGAAAGAAGGAAAGAATGATAAAAGGAAGGAAGAAAAAATAAGAAGGAAGACTGAAAGAAGGAAAAAGAAGGAAAAGAATGATAAAAGGAAGGAAGAAAAAATAAGAAGGAAGACTGATAAAAAGGAAAGAAGGAAAAATGATAAAAAAAAGGAAGAAAAAAAGAAGAAGGAAGACTGATAAAAGGAAAGAAGGAAAGAATGATAAAAGGAAGGAAGAAAAATAAGAAGGAAGACTGAAAGAAGGAAAGAAGGAAAAGAATGATAAAGGAAGGAAGAAAAAAATAAGAAGGAAGAAGGAAAGAAGGAAAGAATGATAAAAGGAAGGAAGAAAAAATAAGAAGGAAGACTGAAAGAAGGAAAGAAGGAAAGAATGATAAAAGGAAGGAAGAAAAAATAAGAAGGAAGACTGAAAGAAGGAAAGAATGATAAAAGGAAGGAAGAAAAAAATAAGGAAGACTGAAAGAAGGAAAGAAGGAAAGAATGATAAAAGGAAGGAAGAAAAAATAAGAAGGAAGACTGATAAAAGGAAAGAATGATAAAAGGAAGGAAAAAAAAATAAGAAGGAAGACTGAAAGAAGGAAAGAATGATAAAAGGAAGGAAGAAAAAATAAGAAGGAAGACTGAAAGAAGGAAAGATGGAAAGAATGATGAAAGGAAGGAAGAAAAAATAAGAAGGAAGACTGAAAGAAGGAAAGAATGATAAAAGGAAGGAAGAAAAAATAAGAAGGAAGACTGATAAAAGGAAAGAAGGAAAGAATGATAAAAGGAAGGAAGAAAAAATAAGAAGGAAGACTGATAAAAGGAAAGAAGGAAAGAATGATAAAAGGAAGGAAGAAAAAATAAGAAGGAAGAAGGAAAGAAGGAAAGAATGATAAAAGGAAGGAAGAAAAAATAAGAAGGAAGACTGAAAGAAGGAAAGAATGATAAAAGGAAGGAAGAAAAAATAAGAAGGAAGACTGAAAGAAGGAAAGAATGATAAAAAGAAGGAAGAAAAATAAGAAGGAAGACTGAAAAGAAGGAAAGAATGATAAAGGAAGGAAGAAAAAATAAGAAGGAAGACTGAAAGAAGGAAAGAATGATAAAAGGAAGGAAGAAAAAAATAAGAAGGAAGACTGAAAGAAGGGAAAGAATGATAAAAGGAAGGAAGAAAAAAATAAGAAGGAAGACTGAAGGAAAAAGAAAAAGAATGATAAAAAGAAGGAAGAAAAAATAAGAAGGAAGACTGAAAGAAGGAAAGAATGATAAAAGGAAGGAAGAAAAAATAAGAAGGAAGACTGAAAGAAGGAAAGAATGATAAAAGGAAGGAAGAAAAAATAAGAAGGAAGACTGAAAGAAGGAAAGAATGATAAAAGGAAGGAAGAAAAAAATAAGAAGGAAGACTGAAAAGAAGGAAAAGAATGATAAAAGGAAGGAAGAAAAAATAAGAAGGAAGACTGAAAGAAGGAAAGAATGATAAAAGGAAGGAAGAAAAAATAAGAAGGAAGACTGATAAAAGGAAAGAAGGAAAGAATGATAAAAGGAAAAGAAGGAAAGAATAAGAAAGAAAGAAAGAATGATAAAATAAAGAAGATATTTAAATATTTCTGTCTATATAAATAACATATAACAATTATATATATATATATATATATATATATATAGTTTAGCATAGGTCATATTTGATTAATTAGTCATATCAATTCCCACAAGTTTATTTTTTAAAGTATTCTACTTTTTGAAAGTAAATTAATCTTTCACCTGCCAGTAGTTTAACATTTAGTATATCACACGTTTGTCCCTCTTTCTGTCTTGTGTGTATCAGATTTTCCAGGCCCTCCTTCTTCATTACATATTCCAGAACTTTTAATTGCCTTTTCCTGATTTTAAGTGTATGTTTCCTTTTTGTTTCCATTCTCTCCAAAACCTTGTCATTGCTCACATGTTTCGCCCTTAGCATCCTTCTGTAGAACCACATTTCTGTTGCCTTGAGTCTCTTCTTCATCTTTGAGGAGATTGTCCAGCATTTGCTGCCATTCAGGAGGACAGATATCATGTAAAAGTTTAGTACTCTTTTCATTGTTTCTAATTAAATTTTCCTATCTCTTAATACACTGCCTAGCTTTCGGAATGCATCTTTGGCCATCCCAATACATCTTCGTATCTCAGTGTCGCATTTTCCATCCCCTGTTCAAACACTTCCTAGATATTTAAATTTCTGTAGCTGTTTGATCGTTAGCATCCTTGATATGTAATTTGCATTTTGAGCGCATCTTTTATTTTTCTGTCTTCTTGTACTTTATGCTTAGTCTTTTCTTCTCACTCTCCTTTGTGTTTTGTCTATAAATTTAGGAAGGGAGATGACAAGAAAGAAAAGAAACAAGTCAGATGAAACTGAGAAGTGACCTATCTTATTGGCTAG